GATGAGTCGACGTTGCGTGTTTTCGAGAGAAAAGTTCTGCGAGAGATATAAGGTTCTTTCCGCATTTGACACGGCGAATATGGCATTTTGCGGTTTGATGAGTTCCAATTCGAAGTAAAAAATGGTCTGAGAGTTAATTAAAGGCCCGAAAAGAGTTCGTTTCCCAAATTTAATGCCATTCTGAAACATAAAGTGAAATAAAGATTTTTTTTGTTATTACCCACGTAAAGATTTCTGAGTTTAATTTTCAAGCTCTAGGCATTTTGCTAATGAAAGGCAATCTTTTCTTCAATGAAAAATTGGCATCAGTGTCTTCAATGTATATTTCACATAATCATTTCTTCATGAACTCAAATCATACTTAAAAGCTGTTGTAAACTCCTGCACATCTTGTRATAGAATACTCGGAACTGATTAATGCCAGTTAATTTCTAATTTTGTACTCACTGTTGTTCAAAGACGAGTTCTTCTTGTCCTTGCAATCAGTAAAAGCGAACGTGAAAACATAAGCTGGCGCATATCACTRCGTCTACACATTCCTGTACCGATTTACAAAACTATTTCAAAAATCAAAATATTTAAACCGAAAAACATGTCTCAAAAGCTCAATGGCACATCAAACGGTCGTTTGCCATCGTTGACATAAAGCTGTTCTACAATCTGCAGTCCTGAGCGCTTTTGACCACAAATAAATTAAAATTTTTTCAAAACTGACCAAGTAGTTAGTCTGGCTATCAACTTTCAGAAATGCGGTTTCCTATTTGCATAAAATAATTGTGATTTCGGCACAATTTTGATCAATGAGTGAACGGGAGACGAGTGAAGACTTAACTACTCACACTGCTGAGCTATGAACATAATTAAGTGTATATAGATATGCATGTGTGTATTTAGAAGTGAACGTGYCTGCTACAAACATGGGTTAAAAACAACCAACACAACAGTTAAGCCGTCAGTGTAGCTCCAACTGATTTGCCGGATTTGTCAGATTTGAAAATTCACAGACACATTTCCAATTGAAGTTGTACCACCTTTTGACTTTAACCAATATTGGTTAACAAAGTTAGCTGCTGTGGCAATGTAAGAAATTCAGAAAGTTGAAAATAAGTTTATTACAGCCAAATGCTGCATTTCCGATTTGCACCAAAAACAAAACAAAAAAAAAAAAAAAATGCCGAAAAGTTGACAGCCCAAAGCCACTTAGTTCAGTTCACTTACATCCA